AAGAGAAGGTAAAAAGAGAAAAGATGTCACCTGAATGTACCAACTGTCCACAATGAATGTATGTATTAATTAGGTGCTGCAAACATGTATGAATAAATAAAATTTAAAAGTTGTAATGAACTAAAAAAAATGTATATCCTTTGAAAACCTCTAAGAGTTCCTGAATTCCTTTCAGGATGTCTGGAAAATCAAAACTGGTTTTCTGTCTTTATTAAGGTCGTATTTGCCCTTTTCACTATGTGGACATTTGCTTTGATGGTACGAAAACACTGCTGGGGCCTTAGTACAGATCTTCACTTCTGTGTGCCTACAGGCAGCTTCACTTAGGAATGCCCAAGATAAAGCAGTGACAAGTGCTCATTTTATTGAATTGTGACTCTGTACTTCACAAGGTATTCTCTGTGAAGAATCAGGAGGCAGTATACCAAAGTACAGTGCTTATTTTGGCAAGCACTTGTGTCTGCGTGAGTTTTAGCAAACTAGCTCTCACCACCCCTGCTGCACATCATTTTTACTTGATAGAATGAATGGTTGACAAACTACTGTATGATTATTTAGACTCAACTATTTAATCAATATTTTCTCAAAAACAAGTGAAATAAGTCTGTTGAAGGAAAACAGCTGACAGCAATCATCAGTATTAGAAGTTTGGAAAATTTTATCTACCATGAGGCCCTTGATAGCCATCTAATATGAAAAAAAGGCTCTTCTGGTGAAATAGGTGGTGATACTAGCAAATGTATTTTCCTTTGCTGTCTAATGAAATATGTCTGCATTTAGAAGACCTGTGTAATTCAGTATTTTGCGCATGCCTAATGAACGGTGATAGAAAAATATGTGTTGTAGATCCATTCAAACCAGAAGATAAAGAATTTTAATAGAGAATAAAGATTCATAAGTTTCAGATTTCATGTTGTAACTGACCTTTAAGAAACTAATTTGGGGCTGGGGATTTAGCTCAGCGGTTCGGTGGCCTGCCTTGCAAGCACAAGGACCCGAGTTCAATCCCCGGTGCCAAAAAAAAGAAACTATAATTTGTCATATTTTAGATTCTCTACAATTACCTGAAGATAAAACATGCCTTCTTTTCCATGTATAAATAGCTGTATGATAAATGGCTTCCATTTACTTCAAAACAGTATATCACAATTGATTCAGTACTGAAGTAGGCCTAAGAATCCAGCTATCTTCTACTAATCCCAGCTTTAAGAGACTTGTACATTGTTAAAATAATGACACTAAAAGTTTTTTGTCTTGGAAAATAATTTTTTTCATAAAAATGTTACGATGTGAAGAGTTTATTGTCATGTTAGAATGAATACGTATTTTAAGGCCTGTGATCAGTTGTTTTGTTAGTGTGAGACAAGCTCTTGCTGTGCTCCTTAGGCTCAGGTGTCACTCCATGGTTCAAGTGATCCTTGCCTCTCAGCCTCACTTGTACCTGGGACTACAGACACCATGCCACTGCATCTGGCTGCATTTCTAACAGAGAGGTGGTCATTGCTATGTAAACAAATGCCTTTTGGAATCTTCCGTTACTTTTTTAAGGGTTCCAGAATCACTGGAATAAAACCAACTTGAAGATAGTTGGAAGAGTTGCAAATCAGTGTTCTTATGCTTTAGCATTTGTGCAAAATGAGCTGTAAATGAGACACTTAATTTTTGTGTAGGCATACAGTTCTTCTGGAAGGATATGAAAGAATTAAGTGTTGCTTCAGGGAAGAGGAAGTGAAAAGTCAAACTCTAAACAGTTTTGAGCTTTTTTGAATTTCAAACCAAATGAATGCATTACTCCTTGCACAGCATGCACACATGGCGAGACACAGGAAAAAAGCAATCGTTCTTACTCAGCTAAAATTACGAATTTCAGTGAATCTAGGCATTTTTATAAAAAGTTGGAGCAAATTTGGAGTAATAGTTCTTTTCCTGGCAGCTTGCTTTTTCTTGTTTGAGGAAAAAAAAAAATTAATGACCAAGCCAACTACTGTAAGTAATATTGAAATAATGTAAGTCAAGTAAGGCAACAGTGTTTCCAGTGGGGCTCAAAGTATACTTGTTACTTTGTTTTAAGGAAGAACAATTCTATTAGCTTTTCAAAAATGGCTTTTATTTCTAGATTTTGGTGGCATTTATTTCTAGTTTGCTAGAAAAGATTAGGTTTATTTTAGGAGTCTGTTATAATTTATAGTCTTTTCATTTGAAAGGGTTTGAGTAAGCGCTGTATGAAATGTGAGAAAAAAGTGTTCTGACATTTGATTCAGTGTAAAAGGTACTTTATACTGATAACCTTTGAGCTTTTGGAATTCTTAAAAAGGATAAGTAAGAATTAAATTTTATTTATTCTGCTTGCTGTTAAATATGCCTTTTGGATAAAAAGTGTCTTTTTCAGGAAAGTTGTTTTCATGCAGCGACATGTATGGTACTTTTTTTTTTTGGTACCAGGGATCTAACGGGTCCTTGTGCTTGATAGGCAAGCGGTGGAACCACTGAGCTAAATCCCCTGCCTATGGTACTATTAAGTGTGATGATGCTTTTAAAATTTCTTTGAATGCTGAAATATCATTTCAGTTCTTTGAAGCAGTTTAGAAGAAGAAATGCATGCAATTCTGTATTAATGATAGTTAAAAGTTTATATTAACATGGAACCATTTGCCCAAGGTCTTTAGTTAACAAAGGATGCTTTTTAAAATGTTTGTTAGTGGATTTTTCTAAAGTATCTGGCCAATGGGTTGCTAATTCAGAAAGGAGTTTTTATTTACTGTTACTAGTTACATGAACAGTACTTGACATTTGTCAAGCACTTTCATGTTATTTTCTTTGATTCTCAGATATCTTGCAAGTAGCATAGTTGATATTTTTCCTATTTAGTATGGCAGTTGAAATTCAGGGGGCTAAATGACTTGTCAAGTTTCACAAAGTCTTGTAAATAATGAAACAGGTTAGATTTAAACAAGGCTAGATTAGATTGAAAGTTTAGTTTTCAACACGACTGTCCTTATCTGTGCTGTGTTCTAGGTGTTCTTGTCAGGTGGAAATATACAAATAAAGCACAGATCCTGCCCTCCTGGGAGGGGCTTTTAGTTAGTGGCATAGACCAGCCTGGATGTGAAAAGTAAAGTGTGTGTGGTGAACCATTGCAGTATCATGGAGCGCCTCTGTTTGAGAGGAAGTAAGGTAAATCTTGAAGAATGACTAGCAGTTAGCCGGAGTGAGTCTAGTTAGAATCACTGGGGATTCCTGAAACGGAACAGATGATTGGAATCTGCTGGTAGTTCCGTGCTGGGCTGTGTGTGAGGAGGGGCAGGCTGAACCAGAGAGGCAGACAGACAGGCCGCAAATTGCAGAAGTTTGAACTTGCATTAACATTTCAGGGTGCAAAAAAGAGAACTTAAATAAGTAGAGAAGAACTCAGTTTGACCGTGGTTTAAGTCCTAGTTCTTGGGCTTGTTAGTTGTGGAGTGGTAGCCAAATGACTGAATATTTCTAAGTCCCTTTTGCCGTGTCTGTAAATGGAAGTAACAGTTGCTTTGCAGGAAATTAGGGGGTCTAGGAAAAGAAATACAAATAAAGCACGTAGCAAGTATCAGACTTGTGAGTACTGTTCTCAATAAATTGGAAGGTGAATTGGGAGCAGTAAACAGTTCCTTGTTCATATTCTAAGCTTCTAAGTAGAACTGAAAAAAATGTGAATTTCATCTTATTTCAAAATAGTACTGAAATACTTGGACATTTCTAAAGTAATTTACCATAGCTTTATAATTTCATACTTTTTAATTTTAGCAGCCATTTCTTAACTATCCTTATTTGAAATTAAGACTTTGTATGTAAGATACAGTTGTCAGGATATGAGACTACCACAGTTAAGTCTTTGTATAGACTCCATTTTGTTTGCATGATGGTTTTACTATGCCCAGTACCTTGGCCCAAGAGTGAATTCTTAGTTGAATGACCTGGATGATATTCGTTAATGGTCTAATCTTAGGCAAATGTACTATCTTATTCAGATTTCTTCAATATTAAATTTTTGGAGAATAAAATAGTAAGTAAATGGATGATCTTGTATAAAACTTAGTTGTCATTTGGGTTGTCACAACAAAATGCCACAAACTAGGTGATTTAAATAACAGACGTTTGCTTTGTACTGTCCTGGGGGATGGCAATTGCAAGATCACGGTGCGGCCAGGTTCAGTTCCTGGTGAGGGCTCTCCTGTCTCGGGACTGACAGCTTTCTCACTGAATACTCCACACAACCTTTCCTCTGAGCTGTGTGGTGGGGTCTCTGTATGCCACTAATCCTATAGGACCAGGGCCCCACTCTTAGGACCCCATGTAGACTCAGATATTCTTACCTCAAATAGAGCTTACATTTGTTAATTTTGAAGGGACATTCACTTCTTTCTATAACACAATCAAGTTGGACATGTTCTCTTGATGGTTTTGTGACTTGGTATTTTGTAACTGGGTTCAATAAGCAGGCATTGTGTCATACTACTCTCCAGAACTGCAGGTATACGCATCGTTTTAGTACCTGCTTTTTAACTAATATTTATAGTTGGTTAGCTACAGAAACTTTTTACAACCAAGTTAGCATAGAACTTTGAATGTTATTGTGCCTGTTCCACTTCTTGAGTTCCTCCTTGCCCCCATTACAGTCCCCCAATAGTTTGGTTCCTGTAGAAGATATCTACATAATTAGTGATAATTTTTAAAAATTTGCTTATCTTCATTTTGAATAACTTTTTTAAGAGAACAGATCTTTTAATTAACATGTTGAGGCTATATATTTTTTGAAGATGGTTAAACCAAAACCCAGTTTTACATAGCAGTTTTTGGAACAAGACAGAAACCCTAACTTAAATGTATAACTATATCTCCTTTTCTTTATTGTGAATCTCAGTGTGAACTTTTGATTCCTTCTAAGTCAGTCTACGTTTCAGATTGTGGTGGAAGGACTTTGACCTGGTTTCCCACAATGATCACAATTACCCTCTTTTCCACAGGCCAGCCCTCCAGATCTCTATATTGAAAGATTTAATATAGCTCTTGGACAGTATATGGGAGCATTGCAGAGCATCGTGCCTCTTTTCATATATATGGTAAGTTTGAGCTGTTTCCTACTTTCAAATAGATGCAGAGAGTTAAGCGTGTTCTACTTTTCTTTTACTATATTTTATGTAATTTTGAGAAGTGGAAATTAACTTATTTCAAAAATGTTTTATAGCCAACACAGAACTATTTTTCCCTTTTTCTGATTTGAAATTCCATAAGTAATAATTGCCAAATTAATGATCAGCAACCATACAATAAGCTTGTATTTCTGTCTTGTGGGAGGCACTGTGCTTGGCCGTGGAAAAACAAAGGTATATAGTCCCAGCTTGTGAACATTTGAGTTGCAAACCTTCGCAGATGTACTGTATGTAAAACTATGAACAGGTCCAATTCATGAATCTTTTCCCGGAACAGAACTCATTTGTAAGTCTAGGACTTACTTGTAAGGTACCCTTAGAGGAGAGTTAAGGCAAACACTTAAAAATTTGTGTGATAAATGTGAAGTAAGACATTCTGTAAAAAGTAAAGCAATAAAATATTATTTCACTCTGATGATCTCTTTTATTTGTAGAGTTATACTATGAGTGTTGAGTTATTTTCTTCCTCTTTTAAATACATAAATTTGGGCTGGAGATGTAGCTCACTGGCACAGCGCCTGCCTGGCAAATGTGAGGTCCTGAGTTCGATTTCTGGCATGCACGCGCGCACACACACATACACACACACACACACACACACACACACACACACACTAAGTAAAAATAAATATATAAAGTTACAGAATCTTAGTGTTAGTGTTAGTATTAGTGTTAGTGGAAGGGCCCCTAGAAGCCATTGTTACAACTTCTCTTTGCTTTTTAGATGAGAGAACCAGATATTTGGTTGATCCTACCTTCTGTAGCATGTACTCTGCTGTATGTGGAATGCCAATTTTAAAAATGATTATTTTTTTAAAGAAACATACTTTATTTTAAAAAACAGAAAACAGAACTACCTCCTACTCCCTATAATTTAGAAGGCACTTTCCAAAAGATATTATTGTGCTTTATAATTTTCATTTAAACCTACTAATTCTTGTTTTCATTTAAACATAATAATTCCTTGGGTACTGGTAACAATTTTAAAAGTTAACCAGAGTTTTACAGTTAATATAATGAGGAAGAAACTTGGTTTTGCCTTTTTTTTTTTTTTAAACCAAGATTTGTCTTGGAAAAAGTTGATAAAAAGGTTTTGCTTTTGGTTTAATTATCAGAACTCTTTTGTGAATTATGAAACTAGTCGAAATATTATTGATAATACTAGAATTAATTGCACCTGCATCAGCCAAATTAATTTTTGGGAAGGATCAGGAAGCCTAGAGGTAGCCCTGTTGTATCATTTTGGTGAAATCCTCTCAGATTATTCATCATTGATATATGTTAAGCAAATATCTTACACTGATTGAGCAAATACTTCATTTCCTTTCTAGCAGACCCCTTACTTTCACTGTATTAAAAGTTTTCAGTGTCAAAAATGAATGGAAGGTTAACTGATACATAGGGCCTGGGGCCCATTAGTGGATAAGGGAGTTAAGGGTAGATGATTAGGTTATTCATTACTGTGTCTGTCCCCCTAACCCTTAACTCTGGACCAGGGATCGAACTTGGGACCTTGTGCTTGCGAGGCAGGTGGAGTGCCACTGTTCTAAATCCCCAGCCCGTGTCTGCCTTTTTAATGGCATTTCCAGTGAGCATGTTGACTAGGTGGGTTAGGGAAACAAAAGAAAACAAAAATTAAATTATCATGACTTGTATTATATGACTTCAAAACATGAATAGCTAATTTATAAGATATTAGATTGAATAAGGGAGAAAAATGATTTATACTTTTCTCTAATGCCATGGTTTGCTTTGTTAAACTTTATGGTGGCATTTAAGAAACATGTATTGCATAAAAGTTAATAAACGTCAAAATTATTGCACCTAGCAAAATTCAGTTAAGGTTTCTTAGGTTTTAAAATGAAAATTAATTATAATTTTTCACGTAGACCCTTTGCTTTCTGGTCATTTGGGAAAATTGGTTATATAAATGATTTTTATTGTCCAGAAGATAAAAATTTTTAAAACTTTGGTTTTTCTTAGTTGGAAAAATATATAAAAAATACTTTGAAATGTTAATACATTTAGGGACATAATCAGCAAAATGTCCTTTGCAGTCACAGAAATAGGTGACAAATTTCAAAAAGTTTTGTTAAAAGTCTCTGTGACTATTTTAAGAAGTTAATAGACACCATACAAATGGCCAATAAATATATTAATATCTTTAGCTAGTAGGGAAATGCAAATCAAAACTACATTGAGATTCCATTCTACTCTAGACAGAATGGCTGTCATCAAGAATATAAAAAACAACAGATGCTGACAATTAATAGAGGGGAAAACAAACCTTTCTTCATTATTGATGGGAATGTAAGCTAGTTTAGCCACTGTGGAAATCTGTATGGAAATTTCTCAAAAAACTAAAAGTAGAACTACCACATGCTCTAACTTTACCACTCCTTGGTAAAAGAATTAAAGTTACCCAAGAGAATTAAAGTTAGCATGCCATAGAGATACATGTTTATATTCATGTTTATTGCAGCACAAGGTATGGAACCAGCCTAGGTACCCATTAACAGATGAATGGATAAAGAAAATGTGCCATTTTTCAGGAAGTAGATGAAACTGGAGATCTTCATGTTAAGTGAAATAAGCCATACTCAGAAAAACAAGTATCAATGTTTTCCTTAGTATATGGAATCTGCAAAAGGAACCGGTGTGAGAATAGAATAAAATTATTAGTCAAGCAGAAGGGAAGAGGGAAAAGGAGGAAAAGGTGTAAGAAAGGGTTATGGGAGAATTAATATGATCACAGTATGTTATATACCTGTATGAAAATACCGTGTTGAAAAATCAATATTTTGTAAAAATAATAGGCATACATGTATAAAAACTGTCATTAAACTAGAAAATAAATTGTGTCTACGACCCTAAATTACCAGAAAATATTCTCATTAAAGGACACAGAGATCAAATAAGGATACTTTTATATTTTTATTTAGGATATTAGAACTTAACATTGTTGTATTTAAAAAGTTAAATGTCTTGTTTTTTAAAGAGGTAAAATAACTTGAATTGCTGAGTACATAGGAAGCTTTCATACAGTTTCTATTTAATGGACTCTGGTTATTTACTGAAGAGTAGGTAGTACACATTAAGATGCTGTACCAGTTGAGTGTGGAGGTGCATGCCTGTAAAATCCCAGCACTCAGGAGGCTGAGGCAGGGAGATTGCCACAAGTTTGCAGCCAGCCTGAGGAAAAAAAAAAAGAGGTTGTACCTTAAGGTTATACATATTAGCGGTATGATATACCAGCAGAGAAAAATGGAGAAATTTTTCCTTTGGGACTAAAACAGTCATTTTATATTTTATTCTTGTATATAAACTATAAGTATCAAATAGATATTTGATTTAAAGTATACTGTCAATGCAATTTTGTTCTAATTTTTGATTTAAAAACCAGTTTTGGGCCGGGGATTTAGCTCAGCGGTTTGGTGGCCTGCCTTGCAAGCGCAAGGACCTGAGTTCAATCTCCTGTACCAAAAAAAAAAAAAAAAAAAAAATCGGTTACGAAAGTAGCTAGATAATAGATTTTTTTAAAAAATTAATTTAAAATAAACTTTCATCAAGTATTTATTTCTGGGTAGACAAATAATTTCTTAGAAAATGTGGCAGACTTTTGATAAAATTCATTTGGGAAAAGAAGGAAACTAATAGCCATGAAAGTTGCTATAGTGACAAATAAGAGGTGATAATCCCTCACTGGTATTGAAATGAATGAGAAAGCTAAGTAATTAAAGGGTTTGTCAATGGATCTGGGATACACAGATCAAGACAATGGAAACCACAAAACACTGAAGTATATGTGGCATTTTAATAAAGAAAAAAGATATTTCAGATCAATGAATGAGAAAGCTAAGTAATTAAAGGGTTTGTCAATGGATCTGGGATACACAGATCAAGACAATGGAAACCACAAAACACTGAAGTATATGTGGCATTTTAATAAAGAAAAAAGATATTTCAGATCAATAAGAAAGGGCTAAAGGTGTAGGGAAAGTGGGAAGGGTAGGGGAAAGGTAATAAGGGAAAAGAAAAAAATATGAGAAAATGAAAAAATGGAAATAAAGCATTTGTAAATGGGGAGGGGAGGGTGGGGTGAAGGGAGGATCATGTGAAGGTACAGGATCCCAGTAATGAATGTAACTGTATGGTATACCTAGATTGCATCAATAAACTCAATAAAAAGGGGAGGGGGGAAAGAAGAAGAAGAAAGGCTCAAGTTGTTCTTTAGCTAGTATGAGACAATTGATGGTCACTTTGGAGAAATGGAATAAGTCTTTAAAAGTGAAATATTAGGGAACAGAAGGAATCATGCAGCCTTGGGTTGAGCAAAGGCCTTTCTAAGTGTCACCCAGACTTACAAGTCATGAGGGAAAAATACTAGACCGTGACAACATAAAGTTTTAAAATGTTTGTGTAGTAAAATACCAGAAGCAAAACACAAGTGGGGAAAAAGTGCAGTGAAGTTGTGAAATGTGAGGCAGAGATTTATTTTGTTTAATAAGAATCCATTTTTTATGAATTAATTGGAAAAAGACCAACCCTATTTTTCTGTTGATAAATGACAAAGGAATATGAATAGATAATTCACAAAAATACAAATGATTTATAAACACAATACTATATCCATCCTAATTGAAGAATGACAAATAAAATAGAACAACTTTTAAAAACTCTTAGTGAAATTGAAAAGGTCTTATAGTATTTAGTTCTGGTGAATCTGTAGGGGAATAAGTTCACATTTTTGGTAGAAATGTTCATTGGTAGTCTCTTTGGAAGGCTCAGGAATTATATGTAGAAATACAAATAAACTTTTTTTGGTACCAGGGATTGAACTCGGGTCCTTGCACTTGCAAGGCAGGCCAGAAGTACGAATAAACTCTTTAGCAAATAGAAGTACTATATATATGTGTAAGAATTATGCAGTATTGTTTTTAATAGAACAGAATTGGGCCTGGGAAAATTATTGGGACTAATAAATGGAAAACAGTAGAGAAATGTGCAGTTAAAAATAAGAAACTTGTGTTCTTTTAGAGAAAAATCGTCTGGGATACAACTTTAGGGTGAAAATTGATATATAAACAGCATATAATATTTCCTTCTTAGCAAGTGTTTTCTTTTTTTAGGGAAAAAAGCACACACATATAAGGAATGTTTTAGATATAATTACAGTAATTTTCCCAGTATGGAATGGAACCTTTGGGAAGAGGACCTCCAAATGATATAGGGGAAATAATATAACTTCCAACCTGGTGGATGTCAGATGCACTGAATTCGTGTTCCCCAAAGTCAAAGAATGAATTCTAAGGAGCAACAGAGGTTAAGAGCAGGAAATATTTATTGTGAGGGAGAGATTTTAGCTCAGGAGAGGCAGGAGGGTCCCGACTGGGTTGTCAGGAACCCCACTTCACAGGGTAAGTTTTATAGAGCAGACTCATGAAGTGGGTACAACATGGGACAAAATTATGATCAACTATAAGATTACTAATAAGATTGCTTAGGTAATACTGATTCGATGGGTAATCAAGTCACCTAGCAAGTGTACATGGAAAGAATAAATAAATTTTTAGGAAGGGATGGATCTGGAGGTCTTGGTCACCCACAAGGGTGACTGGTGTCTAGCTTGACTGTGTTGGGTCAGGTGTTACCCCTCTGCTTATCCCTTGGGGAAGTACTTAGGCTAGGTTATTCCATCTTTATCTTGAGGCCTGGCTTCCAACAGATGCGCCTCCGACCACAGTTGTGATGTGTTCTCATCTCTGCACTGCCTCTCTCAAGGGTCCAGCCCTGTCTGCCTATAATATTTCTACCTAACTTTTATCTCCAGAAATAACTATAGCTGTCTATAATAAGAAGACAGAGGATCTGCAGAGGGAGACTTTGTATTGCATACCCTTTGTGCATGTTTTTATTTTTTAATCATATGTATCTCATTAAATATTTTAAAGAGGAAAAACTGTTAAGGGAAAATTGAATCCATAACTTGTTAGATGAATATCTTTGTGTCTTCTGCTTTTAGACATTGAGTTTGCATTTATGCATAAATGGATTTGATCATTTTTGGCTTGCTAGTTTTAGTATTCAGGATGCTTGGATTGCAGGAAACTGAAAACTGGATTCAAAATAATTTAAGTAAATAAGGAAAAGTATCATGTCCTTCAATAGAACTGCAGAAACAAAGCAGTCTCCAGTGTTGTTTGAATCAGTGGCTCTTTTCTATATCTTGCCGTCCACCACATACGGTTTTCCTGTGGTTATGGGATGACTGAAGGAACCTCCCATCCCAATCCTGGCCTTTTCTCAGTCTGATTTAAGCCACCTTTGCTGTCTACCTGTGAAGCACAGATGGTCTCTGGATGAGTTAGGCTAATCACTGAAGTGGAACGTGTGGTGCGGTCACCATTACATGTTTACTGCCTGCTTTTCACATAGATCATGAAAGGGCTGCCATTTTCCTGGTGTTGTGTTTAGATGCTGATGCAGGATTTTTTCCCCCTGATACTGAGTACTGAACCCAGTACCTTAACACTGAGCTTGCAGAGTTGCTTGGGCTGGGATTGAATTTGTGATCCTCCTACTTCTGCCTGTTAGAGAGCCGGGATTATAGGTGTGCACCATCACCCCTGACTGATAAGGCTTTTTCAAAGAGTATGTCACACAGTGTGGTTCTGTAATATCTCTACAGTAATGTTAAATTGCAGTTCATAGCATTTTATCTTGCTCTTGCAATCTTGTGCCAGAAAGACACGACTAGGGCTCTTTGTTTTTTAATAAGTGACTTGTGCATTATTTGCTAAAATGATGCTTAACAGTCTAGTTCATGAGTCTAATTATTTTCTTCAGTTGATGCATTAAAAATTACTTTCTTTTTCAGAATAAGTTTTACATTGAAACCAAGCTTAACAGAGATTTAAAAGATGACCTTATAAAGCTGTTTACAGAACATGTTGCAGAAAAGCACATTTACAGCCTAATGCGTAAGTAATTCAGTAATACAGCTGATTGGGGAAGTAAGAGGCCACTACTAGCAAACCGGCCCCAGCATTGTCATAAAAACCCTGGTGTTGACATCTGAGCTAGATATCAGGAATGTTGAAATCTACACTACTGAATAGGGAGAGACACAGGGAAGTCATTAGTAAAAAGTGGTAGGTAAGCTTCTTAGCCTCTTGTGGTCCTGCATTTTCTCTTCTGTGAGTTAGGACTTGTAAAATACTTAACATGGCTTTGCAAATTATTACACAGTGCACTGTCCAGTTAGTTTTTCGTCTCTCCCCACTCCCAGGTTGTCTGCCCCTCACAGTGGGTAGCACAGCACCTCATGCTGTCTTTCCTAAAAGGATGTGCCTCTCCCGCTGGAGTTTAGGAAGCCCCAGGCTTACTGTCTCAGCATGCGTTCCAAGCTCATATTCTATGAAGTATATACACACATCAAGGCATTTTCATACTTGAATTTGCAGAATATATTTTGTTACTTTCCCGTTAATCTTAATTACTGCTACCATAGTGAACTTCTACCAGAACTTACAAAAGAATTTTTCTAAGCTTGACCATAAACTCTTCTTCTCCATTTTTTATTTTAAATTAAGAGATGGAGTTGTTAAACATTGGGCCAGTTTTATTTTAGAAGGGCAGGGTTTTCAGGTAAGAGTCTAGATGAAGATAACACATATTTTATTATTATGTTCTCAAGGGACTCCATAATGTAAAATAGAGACCCAGAATCTTGAACATAAATATTTTTTAAGGCTACATGATTATTTACAACTTTGAGTGTTATCTCATGAGACAATGTAGCTGTTAATTATAGCCATTTTCTCTGTTGTTGACATTGTCTTTGCTTTTGTTGCAAAATACACCATAAGATTTTCTTGTGATAAGATTCTGTGGAGAAATGCTACCATCTGATAGAAAAGCTTATTTTCTTTGTAAATATATTTTAAAACTTGCTAGGCATTTGGAAGCTCACTGCAGATGAGGCCCATTCTCTGTCAGCTCCACGGTGTAGTCATTTTCATACTTACATGCTTGTAAAATAAAGTTAAATTTTAGTTTCATTTTTAGAATAAATTCATAAAAAGACAGACATCACAAGGGAAGCTTGTAGCACCGAGGAGCACTGGAAAGGGCAGATTAGCTCAGGACCCAGGAAGGCTTTTAATCTCTCTAGACTGTAACATTGTAATTCCTAAAGAGAGAGCTTGGTCTAGAAATTACTAGAGTTCTCCTCTAGTTTTAAAACTAGGTGATTGATTGACATCTTTAATGAGTAGAGCTGTTGGAAGAGCCATGTTTCTTTAATAGATGACTTTTAGAAGAAAACTGCTACTTAGAACAACAGTTTATGACTACCCAGTTGCATGTATGCTCACTGTTTCAGTGGTGCCATGTAGAGAATACACAATTTAGAGTGAGTCACAAGTTCTCAGACCTCTCCTGTCACCAGCAAGTTTCCAGATAAAATGGAAGTACTTTCATACACTAAGTGCCACGAATACTACTGCTTTTAGAAAAACTTACTTCTTTTCGGGACCTCCATGAGTTGATTCATTTCCATTAGCATTCCAGCTGACCATCATTAAATATTTACCTACTGAATTAAGCTACTACATTTTTTTCTAACCCTTAGTTTATAAAACTTAATTTGTCCTCTTGGGCTGATTTTTCTTGACTTGTTTACCTTTTGGTCTTTCTGAGAAATAACAATAGGAAGAGAAACCTTGACAGGAAGTGTTACATCCTTATTTACTGTCTTCTTATTTCAGCTTTACTTTTAGAAGCCCAGTCAACACCATTTCAGGTTACACCTTCAACTATGGCAAACATCGTGAAAGGCTTGTATACTCTCAGACCAGGTAAAAATCCATCATTTCTGTTGGGCTTGGACTTGTTTGCTCATTTATGTTACAGCCTCATCCAAGAGGTCAGCGATTCTTTATGAGTCTTGTGAGACCACATGGCATTTAGATTTTCTATAGCAGAAAAAGAATAAATACTGATCAGTGTGAAATGTAAACGTGGAGCTCACTTGGAACTTTCTGTGCTAGTGAAATGAAAATCAGTTAGTTTGATTTTGATATCTCCTGTGAGGGGAAGTACAAGACATAATTATAGAATGCACTTCAGACAAAATTGAGGCTCATGATTGGTCTTAATCTGTCTTTGTAACTCATGGAGTTTCTCCTTCAGTACTCCACACTACAGATAAGTAGTCATGCACATTGGCTGCTCTTACCATCTTAGGCCTGTTGTGTAACTGACAACCCAGAAGCGTTGGTGATGTTACAGTCATTACAGGAGGATGTCTCAGGAAGATATAGTCTCAGAAGAGCAGAATAAAAAGTATTGTATTAAAAGTCATGGTTTCTAAATATCTTAATGTGTCTGTCTTAAATTAGAAACACTGTAGATTTAAAGAAGTGCCCAGGTGTCTTTGTAGGTATTTTCCTGTTTGTAAGCCAGAACCGCCAACTTGTCATAGTGCCATCTAGCCACGTACAAAATGCTCTGGGGGGAGAGATTGCAGTAGTTCTCCGAGTAGAACATTGCTCTGCAGTCATACCCAGAAAAGATGTCTTTTTATTTTATTTATTTGTTTTTGTACCAGGAACGAACTCAGGTCCTTGCACTTGTGAGGCAGGCAGTGGAACCACTGAGCTAAATCCCTGGCCGCAGAAAAGATGTCTTTTTTATGATTTATCTTTTTCATTTGGTACTGGGGATGGAACTCAGGTCCTTGTGCTTGTGAGGCAGTCTCCAGAGTCACTGAGCTAAATTCCCTTCCCAAAATGTCTTTTTGATAGTAATTACCTTTCTATGAAATCTTTTGTTTGAGGATTAAATGAAATAAAACATGATACAAAGAGCTTAATACAGTACCTCATACATAATAAGCATGCAAACATTAACTGCTATTGTTATTATTAATTTGCATCGACATTTTTATGGTTTTTCTTATGAAAAGCCAAAATGTTTTATAAAAGGGAAATTTTGAGAAGGCTAGATTAAAACGGTTGAAAAGTGATAATGGCGCTTTATAATTAATGTTCACCAGGAGGAGGAGGGTATGTTTTGCTTGTTTTCTGAATATTATTGTTACTTGATTCTATTTATTTTTCTTGTGGCATATCCATTCTTGTCTTTCACTCATTTATCTTATAATGAGCACACATATCTGACTAGTAAAAGTACTAGGTCATTTTTGTTATATCTGCTGGAAACATTTTCATGGGACTTCTTTGCTTTTTTATTGTATAGGTTATTCTTAATTTCATAACCACTTATTTTTTCTTTTATTGTTATCTATTCAACTTGTTGTGCTATTTATTTATTTATTTATTTATTATTTTCCTGGTACTGGGATCAAACTCAGGACTTTGTGCTACTTCCTCAGCTCTTTTGTGCTTTAATATGGGTCAAAAAAGATGATTTCCAACGTACTAACTCACCACCTCCCGCCCATGTATTAAATTCTCAGTCCTCCCCCTTTTCTTGCATTCCCTCCTTTTTTATGTCTACTTATTATTACTCTTAGTTTTCTATTCATAGGCCACTGTATTGTTTAATTAACGGCTAAAGGGACTGATGGTCCCACTAAACCTCTTTTCTCCAAGTTTCTTCCCACTCAGAGTTCTTTGGTAATTACCAAAATCCCACTGATGTTTTCCTTCATACTTAGAATTCCCTGGATTCATTCTGTAAAAAAAAATTCTGTAAAAATATCTTTTCTTCATACAGTGAAGAGATCATTATTATTTTTTATTTCTTTAACAAAATGGGGTTGAAGTTTTCCCCCTGTTTTAAATTTGGCTTAATGTATATTTTTCTTTAAATAAAAGAAAAATCTATCTTTTCCATTTATCTGAATGATCTCCTTATTGCATCTTCTTCTCCCTCACAGAGTGGGTTCAGATGGCTCCAACTCTATTTTCTAAATTTATTCCAAACATTCTCCCTCCGGCGATGGAATCTGAACTTTCTGAATATGCTGCTCAAGATCAGAAACTTCAAAGAGAACTTATACAGAATGGTTTTACAAGGCAAGTTGTCTTTTTCACTTAGTGACAATGTATGTCTTTTCCTCAGGCCATTTTGGGGTGGCTGGGAAGGGTCCTGAGGTTCTTAGAAGGAGAAGTTATTGTCCGTGGGCCAAGATCCTGCTCTCTAGAGAGGTCATCGGCTCCTCGACTGCAGTAACATTGAAGCTAGGTTTGAGCTTGTGGAAGCTGCCCTTTGCCAGGTGCGTTTTGAATTTCTCATTGGTGAGCAGTTATGTTGGGCAACCTCCAAGAGCTCTTCAACTTGATTCTCTCGTATTGGTCCTGAATGTGTATTTTGTGATTAGTTATAAGGTACTTTTATGACTAAACTAGCAAAGAGACGTCAAATTCTGTATTTCTTCTTTTCTCTTAGTTACTTATTCTTAAAAAGTAGAATATCTCCCCGCCTCCCCAAGTACCAGGGGTTAAACTCAGGACCTTGGCACTTGTGAGACAGATTCAGTAGAGTAGCTGGATACAAGGTCAACTCTCAAAAATCAGTAGCTTTCTTGTACACTAATAACAGACCGAGAAATTAGAGAAAATAGTCCCTTTTACAATAGCATCCAAAACAATGAAATATCTAGGAATCAATCTAACACAGGAAGCAAAAGACCTCTTCATTGAGAACTACAGCAAACACAGGAAGCAAAAGACCTCTTCATTGAGAACTACAGCACTCTGAAAAAAGAGATCGAAGAGGATATAAGAAAATGGCAAGACATCCCGGTTTCTGGGTAGGAAGAACCAATATAGTGAAAATGGCCATACTTCCAAAACTGCTGTACAGATTCAATGCAATCCCAATAGAAATCCCAACAGTATATTTCACAGAACTAGAGAAAACAGTCCAAAAATTCATTTGGAACCAGAAGAGACCTAGAATAGCAAAAGCAATTCTAGGTAACAGAGACATGGCAGGGAGTATCATGATTTCCAACGTGAAACTGTACTACAAAGCCACTGTGATAAAAGCAGCATGGGACTGGCAGAGAAACAGACCTGAGGATCAGTGGAATAGATTAGAAGATGCAGAAAAAACTCCCAACATACTCAGCTACCTCATCTTTGATGAAGGAGCCAACCATCCTCACTGGAGGAAAGATAATCTCTTCAATAAATGGTGTTGGAAAAACTGGATTTCAACCTGCCAAAAATAAAAACTAGACCCATATCTTTCACCATGCACTAAACTAAAATCCAAGTGGATTAAAGATCTGTATATTAAAACAGAAACATTAAACTTGCTGGAAGATAAATTAGGTAGAACTCTCAAAGACAAGGGCATAGAAAAAGATTTTATGAATCAGTAGCATGGGAACTAGCACAAAGAATCAACAACTGAGATCTCATCTTATTAAGAACCTGCACTGCAAGAGAAACCACCAACAGAGCTAAGAGACAACCTACAGTGTGGGAAAAATTTTTTACCAGCTGCTCCTCAGACAAAGGTCTACTATCCAGAATATATAAAGAACTCTAAAAAAAATCAGAGCCCCCAAATATAAAGACCCAATTCAAAAATGGGCATCTGAAATGAACAAACACTTCTCAAACAAGTAAAAGCAACAAATAAATATATGAAAAAATGTTCAACATCACTTTCATTCAAGAGATGCAGATGAAAATAACACTGAGATTCCACCTCAATCCAGAAAGAATGGCTGCGATCAAGAAATTAACCAATAACAAATGCTGGTGGGGTTGTGGATGAAAGGAACCCCTCTCCATTGTTGGTGGGAGTGCAGACTGGTGCAACCACTGTGGATATCAGTATGGAGATACCTCAAACAAGTAGGATTAGAAGTTCTATTTGACCCAGCTATTCCTCTGCTGGGTATCTTCCCAAAAGAATTAAAAGAATCATACCACAATGATATATGCTCACCCGTGTTTATAGCGACACAGTTTGTAATAGCTAAAGCTTGGAAACAGCCCAGTTGCCCATCAACTGGAGACTGGATAAAAAAGATGTGTGTGTTTGTATGTGTGTTTTTTGTTTTTACAAAATGGGAGTACTACTCAGCCATAAAGAACGAGAAACTAGAGACATAGCTAAATGGATGCACATTGAGGACATACTCTTAAGTGAAATAAATAGGACACGTGTAAATGAATAGTTTCTCTGGTGTGAAAAACTAAATTAGGTTGAAATTGTATAATTGATAATGTGAAATAAAAGGTCTAAAGGAGTAAGGGATGTTGGAAGGGTGGAGGAAAGGAAAGAAGGGAAAAGAAAAAATATGAGAAAAGGAAACACATGGAAACAAAGTCTTTGTAAATAGGGAAGGGAGGATGGGGGGTGAAGGGAGGGCAGGGGAATGGGGAAAAAAATAAGAACCAAGATAACATCCTGTAAAGGTACAAGATCCCAATGATGAATGTAACTGTACTGTAAACCTAAAAAGTACCAATAATCTTAATGAAAAAAAAAAGAGAAATAGGATGGCTGGATCAAAAGTAAATACATCTGTAGATTTGTTTAATGTTGCCAAATGCCCTCCATAGAAGATGTTCATTTTGCATAGCCACCAGCAGAGTTTGAAAGTGGTTGTTCCTCATGACCTCATCTGTATTTACATTGTTACACTTGAGAATTTTTCAAGTCTAGTAGGTGGAAAAGAATCACTTAGATTTGTTTTTGTTTGCATTTCTCTTGTTGTAAATAGTGCCCAGCATGTTTTCATAGTTTGCGTATCTTTTTTTGCACACTGCCCAGCTATGTCCTTTGCTCATTTCTTCATTAGTCATTTTCCCCCTCTTGATTTCTAGGAGTTCTTTCTGGAGTGAAATTCTTTTTGTCTTGGTGGTGGTACTGGGGATTGAACCCAATGCCTTTGCATTGAGTTACATTCCCAGCCCTTCAAAATTTTGCTTTTCGCTGGGCGTGGTGGCGCACGCCTGTAATCTCAGCACTCGGGCGGCTGAGGCAGGAGGATCTCTGCGAGTTCGAGACCAGCCTGGGCTACACAGTGAGTTCCAGAGCAGTCTGAACTACATAGTGAGACCCTGTCTCAAAAACCTAAATAAATAAATAAAATAAAATAAAATAAAATTTTGTTTTTCATTTTGAGACAGAGTCTCATTAAGTCACTATGTTGCCCAGGCTGGGCTTGAACTTAGGCTCCTCTTGTGCCTCAGCCTCCCAGGCTGCTGGGATGACAGGTATGTGATACCACATCAGATTGAGAAATTGATTCTTAGTCCAAAATAAAATACATTTATTTCTCACTTTCTGTTTTGACTTCCTAGAGTAAGGAAGAATGTGGAATAGATGGACAGAGGGTTGGGTGGAACAGCAGTGATCAACAAAGGAACAGCAAATGGAGTAGAACGAGACCAGCGGGCTACACAGTGAGTTCCAGAGCAGTCTGAACTACATAGTGAGACCCTGTCTCAAAAACCTAAATAAATAAATAAAATAAAATAAAATAAAATTTTGTTTTTCATTTTGAGACAGAGTCTCATTAAGTCACTATGTTGCCCAGGCTGGGCTTGAACTTAGGCTCCTCTTGTGCCTCAGCCTCCCAGGCTGCTGGGATGACAGGTATGTGATACCACATCAGATTGAGAAATTGATTCTTAGTCCAAAATAAAATACATTTATTTCTCACTTTCTGTTTTGACTTCCTAGAGTAAGGAAGAATGTGGAATAGATGGACAGAGGGTTGGGTGGAACAGCAGTGATCAACAAAGGAACAGCAAATGGAGTAGAAGGAAGGCCAGAAGCTAAAGGAAAAAAAAAAGTGTTTCAGAAGGATGAGATCAACCGTATAAATGCCGCCAAGAGACTGAGGAAGAAGCAACTGCTCATTATTACTCATTATTTAAGCATTTTAGTCATTTGTCCAGATTATTGTCTGAAAAGCTGGAGAGGTACAATAGGATTCACAGGTAGCATAGTGCTTAATCCAAGCCCCTATTTTCTTACCTGCAAAGTGGAACTAAACTTCTGTGGGTGTTTGAAGATGAGCTGGTTAATGCACATAAAGGTTCATGTTTTCCTGCCTCCGAGAGGATCTTAAGGTACATTAAGGTTCTGACAATTTTCAAAGGCTTTCAGAGTTTTTGTTTTGAGGAGGGCTTTTAGGGGCAGATTTTTCATTTTCTTCTCTATCATATTTAAAATGTGCCTTAGTGTGTGCAGGTCACTAGGGATGTTGATAGCAGAACTCAGGTTTGTCTTTAAAGATGTATTTTCAGTATGAGGAAATTTCTCGAGCTCATTGTAAATTGTCCTTAGATGAGCCTTCATGTAATAACTTTCTATATTAGAAGTTGTACCATTTAGCTAAGAATATTCAGGTTACAAATGACTCAGCTTATATTTATATCTATTTTAAAACGTGTGGTTGGGTGAGAACTGAAATATTTGTTATACTTCCGCTGTCAATTATATTGATTCACTTCTGCTGTTTTGGTATGTGAAGAGAGAGATTAGTCAGTTCTCTTTATTGCCTCGTCTTTTGTTATCCCTAGAGGTGACCAGTCCCGGAAGAGAGCTGGGGACGAGTTGGCTTATAGTAAGTGACAATGTTTCTTCCTACCTCTGATGGTTTTGTGATGCTGGGCAGCCACTGATGGTTTGTGACGACCCTGATAGCCATGAGTTCTTCATGGTGCTTGTGGGAGGCACCATGTGTGATGCAAGCTGGGCTGCGCAGCAAGCTCAGCACCTCTGAAATCTGCTCGGTGGTAGTGGTTTTCAGGCAGCTACCAAGAGCCCACCAGATTCTACAGTATCTATAAAGATGGGTAGATGACTCAGGGTCAGTTTTTTATTATCTTGTTTGGCTTTTTAACTTCACTTGGAACCACATGACTTTTAAAAACCTTTCCATTAGTACCTGTGTGCAGTACGTAATGATTACATCCATCATGGGGAGCTGGTACATCTTTTTTTTTTTCCCCATTAAATTTACTGATACATTTTAGGTTTACAGTACAGTTACATTCATCATTAGGATCTGTACCGTTATATGATGTATCAGTTCTTATTTTTTCCCCATTCCGCTGCCCTCCCTTCACCCCCTCCACCCTTCCCTATTTACAAAGACTTTATTTCCATGTGTTTCTTTTTCTCATATTTTTTCTTTCCCCTTCTTTCCTTTTCCCTATCCTCCCACTCCCCTACTCCTTTGGACATTTTCTTCCTATTTCACAATATCAACTATACATTTTGATCCTTATTTACACTTTTAGTTTTTCACTGTACATAACGCACCTTAACTCTTTCTTTTTACCTTTCCTTCCCAAAACCACATGATTTTAAGAGGCTTTAAAAATAAGTCTTGGGCTGGGGATTTAGCTCATTGGTCTGTCACTTGCTTTGCAAGCACAAGGTCCCGAATTCGATCCCCAATACAAATAAAAGTTAAAAATAAATAAAAATAAGTCTTCTTTTGAGGGGTTGGGAAGAGAGTAAGAAAAACGTGGAATAAGCATATTTTTTTCCATTCGCAAGTGCCATCTACTCTTCATGCTTTTTCCTATTGTGGCATTTTTTTCAGACAGCCCCTCCACATGTGCAAGTTCCAGGGGATACAGATAGTGAATGTGTTGAATGTACGTTCCTCCCAAAAAGAGGAAACACTGGAGCTGCAGAGACTGTGTTTGGAGCGCAGCGGGGCCTGCAGCACTCAGGAGCTCTTCGTAAGGCTGTTCTCGGGAGAAGATGCTGGACTTCTAATTTTGGTTTGTAATTTTAAAAAGACTTAACAAAAAACAAAAACAGAAAAAACAGTTGCTGCTAGACTTGGGGGTGATTATAACATGGGACAATCTTTTAATGAGGCTTATCTATGGATTCTTTGAGGAGCTAGCATCTTGGAAAGTGACCGTTGCTAAGTGAAATCCGACAGCCAAAATCAGCAGCTTCCTCCAAAAATACAAGAGCAGAAGAAATCTTTTTTTTTTTTTTTTTTAGCACTTGTTTTATTTGTGGACTTGGCACTTCACATTGGTTTCACATGTCATGATATCTTTTGCTTTTAAAACCAAGCAGATGGTTACAATACAGTATTTTTCACCCGTACCCCAAACAGCCCCCTTTAAAATAAGAAATGGTCTTTGTTTAGCATTACAGCATCTGGTTAAAAGAAAATATTAACTCAGTTTTCATCAGAACCTTTACCCCATCAGTTCACAACCTTTTCCTACTCTGTGCCTTGAGCTTCATGCACTTTGCAACTGTGTGATGGTATTGTTAAACTTACAAATGCTTCCTGGAGAAGTTGCTGGTATCCGGAACCAACCCACCAAAATGCCAGGTGTGTCTTTGTGGCAGGATGTTATAATTAAATGGGAAAGTAGAAGTGTGGTGTACCTTGGTCAGATCCCCCCGGTGGCACCAGGGCATGTTCATGTTAATGTGGGGACCAAATCTCATGCAGCTTTTCCATTCCACTGTCACCTCACCTGATTTCACCAGCCTCTGTAGGGTGGGTAGTGCCCTAGTCCTGGTGGGTGGCACTGCAGCACGAATGCCCCCTTTTCATACTTCGAGGGAATGCCCGGTGGTAGGAGCAGCTCCCTCTGACACTCTAGGAAGTGCTGTAGTTACTAAAACCAAATGTAATCCATAGTGTGGACTTCCTGATCCATTTCATTTCAGCAGAAGAGATAACTACTTTGAAAAGTAGAGCCTGTGTCTCTCAAACAATATATTTGACGTTTCAGTGGAATAGGGAGGAAGTCACACTGCTGATTTAAGGCTTGCTTCCAGCTGTGGCAGTGCTACATTTTCTGTTTCATTACACCTACAGTGCTGTTAAATTTTCCATAAAAGTCTGAAGCTTATTCTAGTTATTTTTGAAAGGCAAAGAAAAGTCAAAAGATATGGCAAGGGAAAAAATATTTTTCTTCTGTTTTGCTTGAATGTAAATTCAGCATAGGCTTCACTCTGTTGGGCTAGTGATGGTCAGTTTTTCAGAGAACGGGAGTCGTTCAGGGATGCCATTACGCTGCTGATCTGCAGGTTTTTCACAGAGCTGCCTCTGCCAATTCAGCTTGTCCTTTTAGGTGAGTGTGATAGGTATGGGCCTTAAAAGTGGGATATTGAGAGCAAGTAAATCATCTAACAGAAGTCCTTGATTGGTAAAATTACACAGTGGAGTAAAAGTAAAGGTGAGATATATTTTTAAGTACTTAGCAACCACAGTTGATGCTTTTTTGGAGGGCTTTGTACTCATTCACCCTGAGTGTCATGGATTGTATTGATGAACACTGACTTACTCTAAGAACCATATACAGGCTCTATGAGCTAACGTACCTCTGACATTCTAGTATTGAGAAAGAATTCCATTTTATCATAAAGCCTAAATTTTACCTTGCTCAGTGGAATGCTTACTGTAGACTTATAAATAGTGCATGGGACTGAAATGTCTCCTGAGTGGCTTTGATGATATTTCTGAAAGGAATAAAATTGGAGCATTTCTCTAAACAGATGAATTTATAGTATTCTAATAACATACCCAAATATTTTTTCTGGGAGAGAATATTCTTTTTTGGCCAACAACAGAATTTTCCCTATTTAAAAAGCATTGTATTATGATGTGAATTGGCATTAAAACCTTTGGATGCCTTTGCATTATTAATGGAGAAGCATTTTATATTCCTTTTATTAGTGTGTGTTAACAAAAAAAGTAAGTAAGGAAAGTCTGTAAAATTTTGCTTCTCAAAATCTTTGCACAGTGACTGTAGCCAGCTGTGGGTCAGGCTTGGTACCCACCAAGCTGTTACCAGAAGGTGCCCTGAAGGGGCACACATTCACCCAGTGCATGTGCCCTGGCTATTCCCAATCTTGGTCCCTGAGGTACATTGCGGTAGAAACCTATTCCTGTAAGCTAAAATTGACATTGCTTATTACTCGAAATTCTTGACAGAATTCTTAGCTTGTAACATGAGAGGAAAGAAAATTTGTTCCCCTCTCATTTTTTATTGACTGAGAGTACTACTATTTGCCAGAAAGTATTTTCCTCTTCTTTTTATTTGTATTCTTGCCGGGACAGTATATGGTTTTTCTACCCCAGCTAAATACTGGCTTTTGTAAGAAACCACTGGAGACAGAGTATTTTATATGCCAGTTGATTGGTTAGTCGACACATACGATTGGTGTGGCTAACCTGTCTAGTACTTCCATGCAGCCAAAAACTAGACTCTTAGAAAGCAAGCCAGGAGCCAGCTCAGTCATCTTCAAATAATGCATGTAAAAGAAATAGGTAATATTGTTTTAAGAGACGGTACGTATTTAAAGGCTGGCCTTAAGCTTCTGTAACAGTGTCATATCTCATGACCCCTGTTATCACAGCTGCACCCTAACCTGTCAGAAATTATTACTCCTTCATTTTGCGGGGGACAAAAAGCAAAACCTGGTGGTGTGACTCCCGGCCTAATGGTTCTGAGGCAGGGCTAGTAAGAGGAAGCGCCAGCCTGGATCTGTGACTTGAGCATTATTAAGCTTTGCAGAGAAGTTTTTTTCCTGCCCCCTTGACAGATTCGTACCCCTTTCATTAGGATGACGCCAGGTAGTGGGTCAGTGAGATTGTGGAGGGACGGATGCCCGTGGCCGTGAACACTGCACATGTTTCCTGTGCTCCGACCTGTGTGGCCACCACTCCCCTTGCTGTATGCTATGCTTTCTGTCAGGTTGCAAATTTGCACGCGTGAAAAAATTCCTCAGGAAGAGTTTGCACATGCATCACCTCGCAATATTCTGTACGGACCAGATGAGGGATTTGAAGTCTTTTAGCACAAAAGGATACTTCAGAGTGGTCTGTATACTTACTAGCAAAGGTCATGGTGGTCTAGCAAACAAAATTGGTTTCTGCAGTTATAAAGTGAGCAGGAGCATTTGTATCATAGTATTTAAATAACCCTTTTGCACCATCCTGTAATCAGAATAACACCCTTCCCAAGTTTGTGTTATTGAGGCTGCCCATATTTTGTTGATTGTTCCCCCATCTTAATTGCAGATAATTATTTCTGTGGTTACACAGGAGAGGCGATGCCCTTGAGGACAAGTTCCCTTGCTTAATAAGCAGCTATTATTAAGCTGAGCATTGTTTTATGAATATACACTAATCTGAAGTATGAAAGAACAAGCTAAAAAGCAAGCAAAAAATTCTGCATTAGCTATCTGTTACTGTATGGATGTTTTGACTTGATTTTTTTATGGGGTGTAACTGATCTTTTAGCTTGGAATGTTAACGTTTACTTTAATCCAAGTATAGACCTCCTAATGGGACTTTAAAAATCCAAAGTTAGAATGTGAATCCCTTGATTGATACCTATAAGAGGGTTACAAGACCTTTTCAGTTGTGATCACTGTTTTCAGTAAGATCATGTAGGGTGAAGTTAAAATGGAGCTTCTAAGAAGATGAGAAATGGCTGTCCTGTTACCATTATTGCCCTATTACAATTGGTCTCACTTTGGGGTCACCAAAGTATGTGAAAGGAGTCCTTTCCAAGGGAAACAATTCTTCTGTCCCCCCATTGATTCAAGTCACTGATGCCTCCTCCACTGTCTTGAGACCCTATTCTGAATCTCTTTCAAGATCTGAGTGACACAAATCCATATACTGTTTCAGCTTATGTTGATGGAGTGGCCATGGGAGAATTAAGAAAATGACAGAGAACCATTCTTGTAGGCCTTGGGGTGTGTGTGTGTGTGTGTGTGTGTGTGTGTGTGTGTGTGTGTGTGTGTGTGTGTATGGCACCCCTGGTGGTTTGAAATCATCTTCATTTCAGGTTGGACTGCAATGTTTAGAGAATATTTATGGATTATAATTCTGGGAAATTTATAGGGTGGCACTGGGGTTAATTCTGTGGTTTGGAAAAAATAAATATTTTGCATCATTTCTCACATGTCATTTCACCATTCTAACTGTGTACTAAATGTAGAAAGATTGTGCATATTCTCTTAGGAGGGTGTGTTTTATTAAACAGATGGCAATTTACTTGCTCCTGTTAGTCCACTTTGTCGCCATTACAGCCGTGGAATACAGGAGAAATTATTCAAGTGTGAAGTTGTGGGGAGCCATGGTTAGAAACAGGAATGTATATGTAATTTTGGCAGTCATATGTTGGCTCACAGGTTCCTGCCATCCACCAGCACAGCCAGGCAAGGAGTAGCAGCAATGAAATCTCGTCCCTGGTGGTGCTTGACGGTCAAGGTGTGGTAAGCTCAGAAAAGTTGTTCTGTACATCATTTCAGTCCAAGAAAACAAAAAGATGGATGAAACAGTTATTGACATGGGATGTGTAGCCACTGACTTTGGCTCTGACCTTTAACCCTTGGTGGATTTTGAATCCTTCTCTATTAGGGTGTGTAAGATCACTCTGACATTGTGGTTCATGAAATAAATCTTGTACAGAGATTCTTGGCCTTGGTTATGTTATGTTGTAAATCTTACATGGATGTGTCTCTGGCCTTGATACTTGGTTATTTGCTTTTGCCTACAGTATGTTCTAAGGCCTCCTGAGCAGTAACCGCATTCAGCGCATATAGTCACCACAGTTCACCACCCTGCAGGCAGGGTGAGTGCAGGTCTTAATTGATGATTAAACAAAACATATAAAACTGTGCATGTAACTATACTTAGAAAGTTTTACATACTCTGTTGACATATGTAGTATGCATATAGGTTTGTATGTAGTAGCCTCCCCCTTTACATACTTGTATAATTTCTTTCCATTGTGGGCCTTCAGGAAACACTTTGGCTTTGAAATTTTTTTGAGTGGATTGGCCATGCTTTCTGTATATGCCATGTCCCTTTGTGTTTTCCTACTGTGAAATTAGAAATAATCCTCCTAAGATTCTAATTTTACAATTACAGTTTTTCTTCCGGTGTTGGAAGCTTGCTTTCCAACATTGTTCTCAGAATGCCCCCCCACCTTAACTCAAGCCTGTTGTGGTATCTTAACTTTTAGTTAACCAGGTCTGAAAGAATTCATTGACTTTATCTTTGTATTTGAGTCACCTGACAGATTTCCTTTTTGAGCTGGATAGGATGCTATTTAAACATCCTTCCTTCTAGCATATTCTTTTTCTTTTACAGAGTACAAAAACTGCTACCAGAATAAGTTCTGTATGTGTGTTTAATTTACTTCCTCTATTGGCCTTTTTCTTATTGGACATTTCAGCACACCTCCCTCAGTAATTAATAGATCATGCAGAATACCAAATTACTAGAATTATTAAGGAACTAGAAAGTCAAACAGTGCAGATAATAAACTTGACCTGGCATGTGTGTGTGAGAATACATTACACCCTTCAGCAAGAAAATAAGCATTGTTTGCAAACCAAATCTAAGCGTATTTAAAGTATAACAGGTGCTGACTACATTGGATGTACAGGGTCTCAAGGGATGCAAGATTGGTTTCACATTAGAGAATCAGTTTAACTCATATTAGTGGGTTAAAGTTGTATGGGCAAATTGTTTATGAAAACGTAGAGAGTCTACAAGACAAATTAGAAGAATTAAGAATTTATCAAGAGGGCCAGGCTGGTGGCACATGTTTTCCTAGCACTCAAAAGGCTGAGCAGGAAGATCACTGTGAGTTCGGGGCTAGCCTGGGCTACATAGTGAGTTCAAGTCTAACCTGAACTACATAGCAAGACCCTGTCTCAAAAACCCAACAGCAAGAAAAAGTTCATCAAGGTTTCTGGGACAGAATCAGTATGCAAATGTAAGTTTCATTTTTATGTACCAGCTATATACAGTAATGGGTTTTAAATTTTAAAGATGTAAATGTAATAAGAACACAAAGAACATAAAGTACCTAAGAACAAAGCTTGATGAAAAGTATATACTTAGGAGAATATGATTAAAATAAAAACCAAAGCCATATTGGTCTCTAAACGGAGATGGACAACGAGTCCCAATTTCATCAAGATTTGGACTCTTTCTCCAAATTGCCTGACAGACTTGTTTCAGCTCCAATAAAATTCCCAGCTGTTTTTATTGCCAATCTTGACAAGGTGTTCCTGAGATACAAATGAAAGTTCACAGGGCCAAGGGTACTCAGGACAGCCCTAAAAAAGAATGAAGTGTGAAAACAGCACTGTAGGATTATAAAAGTTGCTATAAAATGCAGCATTTAAAACAGCTTTGATAATAGAAAGTAGGGAAGCCTTTCTCTGATGGGAAGGGAATGAGAGATGGAGGAGGTAAGGAAAAGGGAGGAAAACAAGTAATTAAGATGCATTATGTACATGAACTGCACACAAGTGGTGTAAATATTATGCAAATATCTACCAATTTTTAAAAAATAAAACAGCTTTGGCATAAGGAAGGGTTTCATGAACAGGATGGTGCAAACTATCAATTAATAGAGAAATGATTTGGCTTCATTGATAGTAAATACTTTTGTTTACCAAATAAGCCCCAGTGACAGAAAAAAACTGGCCCGTTGGGAATAAGATGCAGATACTCACAGCACACATCAGTGTTAAAGAGCGCCAGAGTGCAGATCTGTAATGAAAACAGCTCAGGTGAGGTGGAACCAAACACAGGCAGCCATTTCATGGGAGAAACAAGTGGCTCATAAACATGAAAAGATGTTCAGCTTTATTTAGTAATCAGGAAATGTGCATTAAAATCATAAATGCCATCTTCTAGCCACCAAATTGGCAGAAACTATAAAAAGTCAGAAAATACCAAGAGTTGGAGAAATTATGACAGCAATGACCTGTTGCTGTTAGTGCTGTAAGGCAGTACCACCTAGGGAAGTTGAACCAGGCATTTCTGATAGCCCACTCTGTATCCTTAGACTCACATCCATGGGCACAGGAAGTTGCAGGAATGTTCTTATCACGAACACCTTTAGTAGCAACCAGAAAGAAGCACAGTGGCTGGGGATATAGCTTGGCAGGAGCACACTGGCCTAGCATGCGCGTGGCCCGCTGTTCAGTCTCTGGCATGGGAAAAAACAGGTACAAGCAGGAGGAAGGGAATGAGGGAGCCAAATGCCTGTCAGCAGCTCAATGGATATATGAATATCCATTGAGCTGCTGACATATATGATATATGAAGTTGGTTTGCACAGGGGAATTCTGTAGAGACCTAAGGGCATCAGATGGAGCTGTGAGTGTCCTGTGAACGAGCCTCAGAAAGCATACTGAGGGAAAGCAGCCACTCAGAGCCAGTGTGAACACGATAGAAAGTTCACACTGGGAAAAACTGTGGTTTAGGGTTTCTCGTGCAAGTAGTAAAACTCGAAAGGAAGAGAATTATGATTTTCTTATGGGAGGGATAGTGCAGGGAAAGAGAACAGAGGATCCCAGAAGCTTAACACTTGATAATAACATTTTGACTGTTGTAAACACATCTCTTCCCTTTGAGCTAATATAAACTCAGTACAAAACCAATCCAAAAGCCAGAAGGCTGTTTGTTTTTAATATAATTTAAAAACGTGTATAAACAGACGAACATAGGAAGATATTCAAAGAAGAGAGAAGGAAATTGTTGTATCAAAAACCAAAAACAAAATCACATTTTAAAAGGTACAATTATATTAAGTTACACTGGTGTAAACATAGATTAACGGACAGTGA